ATTTTATAATATATCATTTAAAACAAAATAAAATAATGAAATTTAATTAAAATTTTATTACAATATACATATCTTCTTTATACAATAAAATATGTTCACTGATATATAAATAAATATTTAGTAGATATTTTTATTATTATTTTGAATTTCGTGTTGTTTTAAAAAATTTACAATTCTTTCGAATCATATGTGAACATGAGTAAAAAAAACACCTTATAGCGATAGAGGAAATATGATGTCAACAACATACAATTGAAAATGTATATATCTCAATTTTGATCAAATTAACTTTATCTGATCTTCTACATTGTAGCCATGTATTTCATATGTTTGGTATCAGTTTATACTACAATTTCCGGGATAATTCTGTATGCATCAGCTATAGTACATATCACACCACAGATGAGCAAATACATAAATAAATGCGTCTATTAAGGATGATATTCGTATCAAAACCCGAAGCAGCATCGAGAACTATGCGTTGAATCAATTGACTTATCATATCATTGTAGTGTGATGTTAATTTGTTTTCACGAGAAATTATACATTAATGAATATATCATAAATATATTGATAAATATACATTTTTCAAGGAACATAACTTATTTAAATCGAGTCTGCTAAACAATTGGTGCATATATGATAAATATCATGCATGTAATTCCAGAATTTTTTTTTTGGGTACTTCCTCCTCGTCAAAGCTCCTTGATTCGCGCTTAAATATCGGCATTTTCCTGAAATTTCTCGGTATCGGTATCGAATAAACGTATCTTCGAGAGCGAAGCACTCGAAGGAAAGAGCACTCGACCTCGATCACAGACAAGCCCAAAATATTCGATGATATAGAGGGATAAAATATCGCTGCATTTGCAGTGAGTATTTCATGATATCGAGAGGAGGTTAGGACTCAAGTACGAGAACATTAGTCGTACAATACGTTGATCTTTGGAGAAAGCTCGGTATTATATTTATAACAAAAGACAAGTTGTATGTATAATAAGAATATCTTTCTGGAAAGTATAAGTAACGTTATTTACAGTTAAATTTGGAACTAGCTTTACTTTTGACTGATACGACGAAAACAATATTGAAAATATTATTACTTTCCATAATTTTTTTAATTTATCCGATATTTCTGGACAGTTAAGAAATCAGAATACTATTGAAATAAAATCTGTTTTGTATTGAACGTAATATTTTTTTTTTCTCTGAAATTTACTTTTTGTAGAAAGTTTTTTAGTTTATAGTTTATAGTTTATAGTTTAGTTGTTATTAGTCGTTTATTTTAAAAGAGGCGACGTATCACTTCTGCTATTTCTGTAAAATTGCGCGATTTATTTCTAATACTCCCAAAGAATGGGAAGAATAAAAAA